ACAAGGCTTGACAATCACCTTGCTGGGGTCGTTTGACCCCAGTACTTTCCTGCCATGGCAGGGAGTCGGACTTGATGATCTGCTCAGGTCCCTTCCGACCCTACTAACTATGAAACCCCCAGAACTATTTCCCTGCCTGGCAGAGGCAAAGAGAACTCGCAAGCAGCTGGAGTTTGAGCCTGAAAGGAGTTCACATCACCCATGCTTTAGAATAAGCAACAAGGCTTCCAGTTCTTCCCAACAGCAAATGGGTCCATTCAAGTGCTTCACTTCAGGAGTCACTGGGATCACATTTTGAATTTATGCATTTTCCTTCATAAACAGCTGTCTCTACCAACAGAGCCACAGGATGAACACCACTGCTTTAAAGCTAAGTATGTTCTTGGTTTCCCTCTGCTACCTGCTATTGCTTATTTTCAATTTCAAAATTGTTTCCAGTTTAAGTGCCAATGAATTTACTCAACCATGAGTATAATGGATTGTTATAGTTAACAAAGTAGGAATTTATCAAAAAAATTCACACCATGGAACATAAGAAAGAACGTTAAAGCCTTCTCAAAAGGAGGAGTCCCTTTTTAAAGGGACCAAACTAATCAAGTGTGTAGTACTCAGTGATGTTTGCACATGGGCATTTTGGTTAACATTGCACACCAGTAACGTTATAGGAAACTTCATGTATTTAAGAGAAGTTGTGACCCTTGAAATATTGGTACTTTTACACTCCAGTCTGAAAACTAGCTCAGCTTCAGCTTTTAGTATGCCAGGCCCAAGTAGACTTAGCTGATGCAATGGAAGTATAATACTGGATTTGAGACATCCACCTACTGTCACATATGTAAATGCAATACTAGATTCAGTAGTTTGCCTTCACCAAACTGGAACTGCAAAGCCATGTTTCCAGTTCGCAAGTTTTATACATAGAAAAGTTATGAACTTACATCGTGCCACATGAAAATTCCCAAACTATAGCAGTAACTAATATCAATATATAGATATGTTTAAAGGACATGGTTATGTCAAACTATTTCAAAAGGACCATATTAAAGACTTGACTTTCGCAAATATCATCTTTTTTTTATATATGTAATATTTCTACCAGCGTAAAAGGTTTCATTCTGGCTATAAGTTGGCAACAACTCAAATATGTCCTTGATGTGGTCCCAGCCCAGACATTGCAGCATTGTGTTAGTGCTCAGGAACCAGAAAGTGAAACTCACCAATCAAAAGAGACTAATTCTGTAAGCTTGACAAGGTTTGATTATGAAGCACACTTGCATATAAAAGAATATACCAAATGCACCTCAGAATTTTGGATCTGTTCAGAAAGTTAGGAATGTAGACTAATACTACAGGAAATGTCATACTGGGTCAGACTATTCATCTGCTTAGACTAATATCTGTAACAAATCCTTCCAAAAGCCTTGATGTGACATATTTAAACCAGTATTATTTACACTGGTTTTGTGTAACAATTTAAAATTACCCTGGGATCTCAAATGGAGATAAATTTGCATAAATTCTCATGCGTCCAGGACCCAAGGAAGGAACTGTACTGACAGGGGCAATCTGGAAACAACTGAAAATAGCAAATGTGTCTTTAAGACCTTCATGGTGCAAGTTAAAAAGTCACCAACAAAACCATGACTGCTTATAAATCCCTTCTAGCCCAAAGAAATGTCTAATCCCAAACTCTTGAGGTCTCTATAGTGATAGTGAATTCCAGGACATAAAAAGAGAATGGATAAGAAGTCCTCTATGACCTTAAGAACAAAATCAGGACTCACAAGAGTAACTCAGCAGTTTCCTGCCTTTACTGGCCAAGTGGAAAATAACATTGCATAAGTAACGTGCTGGGGCAGCATCAGATTTGCTCTCCCTGACAAATTCAATTTTAATTCTTTTTTTCCTGTAGTCACAGGCAATATCCAAAGGCCTCAAAGGTTAAGTAACGCCTGCAAGGTATTCAGGGGCTGCCACTGAAGACTCATATTTGACATTCAGAAAAAGGAACACAACTAACTAGCTTATTCCATGTTTTGTATGCCCCAATTTATCATCATTTGTGTCTCCCATCTCAACTGGAAGTCCCAATCTTTCTTCATAGTTTTTTTTTGGCAATCATTTTTTTGCATGCCTCCAAATCTCTCTTATTTTTGACATATGCCTTTTGGGACAAGGACACTAAAGCTAAATACAAGTACGTCAGGTACAAACATAAAAGAAAAAAAGAAAACAAAAACAACAACAACAACCACATTACACCTCCTACTATTTTGTTTCACTATCACTGCACAATGACCTGTCCATGGCAGCATCCAGATTCTTCTCCCAGAAATTAGCCTATTTCTCAGTTAATCTACAACTGAGAAGCACACCTCTAGCATACGTTGCATCTTCCAATACAAACCGACTCGACAACCATCAATACTGAGTTATCTGTCATCATGCTGGCCATTCACCCATCTTTGTTAGATTGCTCTGAAATGTCAAAACTTTTTAAAAATCCAGACTAAACTCATTCTCTCATGTGCAAATATTACTGCTTGTTAGTAACCACCCTTTCTGCATATTTGATTAAAATTAAAAATGGCCTACGCAAGCACTTGTGCACCCCATTGTGTTCTCCAAGCACCTAAGCCATTAATGATTTAACCCTAGACAAGGTAGTTTTCTGTAACCTTATTTTACAGAAAACCTTAAAGAAGTGCCTTGCCCAAGGTACTACACAAATCCTGTGGGATATCTGGGTGCATCTGCATGTGCAAATAAGGGAGAGAAAACACTCTGGCACAGTTCACACAGGAGTCAACTACTCCTGGCACAGCATCTACACCAGGGGCAGGCAATTATTTCAGGCGGAGGGCCACTTACCGAGTTTTGGCAAGCCATTGAGGGCAGCGTGACAGGCAGACAGCGGCAGATTACTATTAATTTTCTAAATTTTTTTTTTTAGGGGCCCCGCAGGCCAGATGGAATGGCCTGGCGGGCCCCATGTGGCCCACGCGCCGCATTTTGCCCACCCCTGATTTACACATATGCTCAGGACTGCAGCACTTTGACCTGGATCAGAGAAGCCCCAGGCTGGCAGGGAGCCTGGGGGAAGAGGAGGCGTGGGCAGCTTGTGCCCCAACCAGCCCTTCTGCTGTCACCTGGAGCCCAAGGGTGCTCAAGTATGGGGCTGGGCAGCAGGCAGCCCCTGCACTGCAGCACCCTCGTGCCCCAACCAGCCCCTATCACCATCTACACATGCATTTCAGCATATGCAAGCACTCCATTGTAAGAGTACAGTCCTTGACAGTACTATCTTATGGCAGAGTTCATTTACTGCGTCCTAATATCAACACGTGCAAATGGTGATGCTTTACTGCGGAGCGTATTAGTCTACCCCACAATAAAGCGCATGTGTAGATGCACCCTCTGATACCCAGTTCAGTACCTTAACCTTGAGGTTCATCTTCCTTCAACCTATATGAAGGAGATTCAACATTCAGCTTATAAACAAGAACAAAGTTTATAATTCACTCTTACTTTATTTCAGTTATCTTGGTCTCTTGGCCGACTCTTGTCCATAATGGTACTTTCCCTCCCCAAAAGACTATTGATTTAAAAAAAAAAGTTTATTTTGATTTAGCCTGAATCCACAGGTAAACCGACTTCTCCCTACACTTGAAGAACTTTTGAGTTTAGAAAGGCACAATTCATTGAAAATGGAAATCTGATATGTCCCTATTATCAAAAGAAGACACCCAAAAAACACTAAACAGGAGAGTATAGTAATAATTATTTTTAGTGGGTGTTTAATTAGTTTCCTTGGCACTGAAGTACAGCTTGCTAGTCACCAGTGCCAAGAACCACCATCCCACCCCACCCTCTGTATCTTTCGGGAAGCATATTTGCTACTCTCCAGATCCCTGCTGTAACAGCAGATTTGGAGATGCCACACTTTTTCTACTGACAGCTCTTGCCACATTCTTATAAACTCTTCATCCTTATGAACTCCCACATGCATACCACCCAGTCCTAGTGACTTTTTCCTCTTTAGATTTATTGATTTGTTCCAGCACCCGACACCTCATCCCTGCCAATCCCTCATTTTTATTACCTGAAAAACCTAGCAAAAACAAAATGAAGCACATAAAGAATTTCTATATTATCACTAATAGCTAAGAAGTTGAAGTGGTATTGCCCACACAGACATAGCCATGCTCAGGCTCGAAACTGCTACACACATTGCCCCAGCCTTTCATCAGTCTAAACATTGCTACAGCTTGTGACACCAAGGGTCAGAAGCCAGCCCTTGCAAACTGGGATGCCAAGTCTTTGACTATCAGACGTGGTAGTTTGATTTCTATGGAGCCAAGTATCTGAATCCCCTGAACAACCAGGATATACTGATGCACCTGTTTCTAGCGCTCCTACCACCAACCTTGGAAGGGCTGTGGAATCCCCTGAGGTCTTACCCAAGCAAAAAGCTTGCCACCCCTCATCAAGCAGCCCAGCAACCTCACTTGAAAAGAAAGCAGTGGTATAATCATATTACCGTTCAGGGCAGCAGGATATCGCACACAGTCCAGACCCGGATCTCCCAGGTCTGGAATGCAGCCTCCTAACTGGGAGGAAGTTTTGACTCTGTCCCCTGAGGAGAATGTCAAACTTGTGAGGGAAAGTCACACCCACGGTATTACTGCCCATTCCTTTCACCTTGCCTTTGCAAGTCCAGTAGCTAGGCCTTCGAAGTGACATCCGTCTTCTGAAGAAAGTTAAGGTGGGGGGGAGAGGCTGCAAACTTGGGAACTATCTGCACTCCAGAGAAAGCTAAGGGCATCAAGATGGCTTTTAACTGCAGCAAAGTTTCCTGGCAGCCGGAAGACACTGGAGCTGCAGGCAGCTCAGCAGGACCACCAGCCATGGAGGGTGCCCAGGGTGCAAGGCGAAGGGTCCCGAGCGGTGCCTTGGCACTGCCACCTCCCCGCACCCCCACGAGAGGACGGGGGACTCACCTGGCGGGATCTGGAAGTTGGCGGGGAGCTGGATGGTGGGGGTCTGCGGGGCTTTGGGCGCCACGACCTGCGCGGGGGGCAGCTTGGGGCCGGCGGCGGCCGGCACAGCGGCCACCAGCGCGCCC